ACCCTAAATTTGTTGAACCGTTTGCGTTGGGAAGAAAGATCTATGGTGTCCCGGTGAGGTTGCAAGGTACGGCGCCGGCATGCCCAAGTGCAAACTCCTCTTTCTTCAAACCTTGGAACCGAGCAAGAGGAGACCCCAGCACCTTCACCAGCCCGGGGCTGCCGCTCTGTGAAACGATGGTGCGCTTGCCGTGTGGGATCGCCTGGGTTTAGGGTTTAGGGCTTAGGGTTTAGGGTTTAGGGTTTAGGGTTTCTGCCGCGCTCAGGGCTTCGAATTCGGCATGCGAGCAAAGTTTGGACAAGTTTGGGCTGCCAGCTTGAACCCTAAGCTCTGAATCACACCACCACGGAATCAAGTCCTTGGCCATGGGACCGCACTGTTGTTCAGTCTTTCGCATGTTGATGACCCTTTGTGCTTTACAATAAAATCCAGACCAAAATAAACATCTGTGCCAGGTGGTACGTTGTAGGTGCGTGCACGGTGAGGCGAGAGGTGGTCCAATGAGCCCAACACGATTCTGTGTCGGCAGCAAGGTTGGCATACCACGGCGGAAAAGGAACTAGTCTCGGCAACGAGTTTTTACCTCCAGGATCCTGCCGCGTGCAACTCGGGCAGGGGCCCGGCATCTTCCACATGAGCTCGCCTGCTCGGGGCATTGGGAAAGCGGAGCTGCAATCCGTGGATCGGCAGTCAAGGGCTCTTGTCGTGCTTCACGGAGGAGCCAACAGTGGGGCTGTGTAGGGAGTGTAGGGCCTTTGAGCCCGAGCGAACTGAGCCCCTGCGGCCTGCGTTGCCGCGTCTCCATCGGAGACTGGCGGCCGCACCTGCCAATCAATCTGGCTCCCAGGGTTTCAGGAATTGCTCAGGATTTACGACTACTTGCATCTGCGGTGTTGAAGGTCGAGGGTGCAGTACAGGAGTGGAGACTCCAGTGGTTCACCATAGTTAGGGCTTCGCATGTCAGAGTAGTCGAGGCTCATGACGGAGGATTTCGGGCTTCGGAGCTCCGGGGGCTTGACTTCAGGAGGGTGGCGCGAGGCAGCTATTGCAGCTATTGGCTTCCTTCCAGTTCAACATCTCCCATGTTACATCAGGCCTCCGAAGCCTTCCCTCGACGCCCAGCAGAGGAAATACCCGGAGTGCTGCGGAGCGCCTCCACGAAGAAACCACAACGACTCTGCAGTCGCAGCGGCCCCTGCGAGCGAGAATAGCCAATGGCAAAGAACATGGACCGAGTTCAAGCCTCACCACACGCCATCTCACCCCCCGCAACCACTACCACAACCAGTGCAACCATGACAAAAGCAGCGCTGCAACAACAAGAATATGCGGCCGTGAAACTGCAATCAAAATTCAAAAGGCGGTGACCTTCTCTAGGGTGTCTAAGGTTTAGGGCGTCGGCATGGGCTTCAGATGGCTTCAGGGTGGCCAGGGCTTATAGGGCGTTTGCGGCTAAAGTGGGTTTTGGGTGTAAATGGGAATGCACCTTCTCTAGGACTCTCGGAAGTGTACCCAGGATCTGGGGTAGCCGAAGTATCATCAAAGCAAAGCCGCATGCTGGGGGTTGCAGCGCATGACATGTACCCGGCGACTGTGCTCGCCCTCCAACCAGCGGTTGCGTCTATCCCGAGCCTGCTTTCTTCCAAGATGGTGGCGTTCTGGCGGGCGTATACCCCAAAACCCAAAACCCTAAACCCTAAACCCAGACCGGATGGAGGTCTTGAAAAAAAGGACCCGGATCTTCTCGCACTGACAAGGACTGCGATGCCTCCTGGTCTCCATAAAGGCGCTGGAGGAAGCCGGCCTCCAAAGTTCCGAGGCTGTAAGGCCCTGTGAGGTCAAAACTCCCCTCCCGAGCCATCCTGAACTCCTAAACATCCCCTGAGCATCCTAAACATCCTCCCAAAACATCCTAAACATCCTGAACATCCTAAGCATCCTAAACACCCTGAACAGCTTAAAGATCCTAAGCATCCTAAACATCCCAGACATCCAAACCCGGGCAGGACTGCAATGACTGCAAAAAGCATCCCGTAAGCCGCCCCAGAAACCAAAACTTCAATCAGAGAGCAAGCTGTAAGAAAGGTGTGCACCTTCCCATCAGCTGGTCGTTCCATTCGGGGCTTGCTCATGAGATCCGCCCGAATGCTGAACCCCTAAAATCTCCACTTACGTACAGCCCAAGCCGCTCCCAAAATCACCCTAAACCCTAAACCCTAAAGGTTGATCCAAAAAAACACGGCCCCAAGAAATCGAAGCCGCCGGCTCATCGCGGCGCTCCAGGCGCCATGCTCCCGCACCAGGGCAGTCCTGACAGCCCTAGGGTTTAGGGTTTAGGGTTAGGGTTTAGGGTTTAGGGTTCAGGGTTCAGGGTTCAGGGTTCAGGGTTTAGGGTTTAGGGTTTAGGGTTTAACAGAGGTCCTAGGAGCTTTGACCAACTATGATGTCATTGCGCCTATACTGGCCAGGTGGATGCAAAAAAGCATCTCGGACTTTTTAAAAACAAATAGCAGCAGAAGTTTGGCCCTAGGACTTGGGACATGGCATTCAGGTGCGACGAGAACCGGGGCATCTCCAATTGCACCGATTGCGAAAGCTGAGCTTGAAACAGGTTAAGGGCTTGCCACCCAGCATGTCCCTTTATGATTTGGGGTTGCACAACCTCCAAATCCTTTCGGGTTGAAGATCTCCCCCCCCCCATATCCTATTCTGGCCTACTCTCTACGCTGTACGGGCCAACATACCTTTACTCTGGCTTCACACCGGGACATGCCGTCTTAGGGGTGAGGGCGAGTATGGCGAGTATGGGGACGACGCCTTTCGGGTTGACTACTCGGCCTACTCTACAGCTGAGCCTGGAAGTCTCGAGCAGCCTTGGGATCCGTCGGGCCAGGCCTGCGAAGCCTGGGACGCCTTCGCGGTTGCGGGAAGCGGTGGCAGCGGCGGTGGCGGGGCCACGATGTGGCCGGCAGCCACCAGCCTGAGAGGTTGGGTGAAGCCGGGTTGGGCTGCTAGTCCAAAGGGAAGATGAAGCTCACGGCTCAAGGTGGGGTTCAGGAAGTGCTATCCAAGGATTCTTGTAGGCCGAATGGGCTTTAGATCGAAAAATTGTCTTACATCTCGCAAATCTGCCTGTTGGATCCCTAGGACTGATCCCAGACTCGGCAAAACATCAGGTCTGACAGCAACTCGGGCTGCAGCACTGGGAGCTTTGGGCTTACAGCTTTTTTGAATCTGGGTGAGAACCAGCACCCATCACGAACATCGAATTTCTGAAGCCTGCTGTATCCGAGATGGAGATGCCTCCGAAGTATCTCATGTCAAGAAATTGTGGCCTTTCGGCGGCTTTGTGATAGGGATGCCCCCGGGGACTGCCTTATGGTTGATGAAATGGGCGCTCTACCAAACCAGATTTTCTCCTCGAGCAGCATGCCCGTGACCATGGTACGAGAGTGCCGACACGATGCAGGCGCTCGGACTGCGTTTAAATGCACCTCAAGCTCTGCGACTTGTGAATGGCTTATGAACCCGTCCATGACATAACATGAGAGCTGCGAATGATGGGGTTTGACAGTCCAGGGACTGAGAAGCGGTAGCTCACCACTTGAAGGAAGCGCATGCCGGCTACAGAACTACAAGGCAAGCAACGTCCTTGCCAACGTCTGTCACGGCTGCTTTCTGTTCGGAAATAGGGCAAGTGTCAATGCACAAGCCCTGTGAGACCAGGATTCTATTTACAAGCCTTGGGGAGCTTTGAACAGTGAGGGCTTGGCAAACAATGTTTGGAACACATAGCTTTTGCCCACTTACGCACACGATGAACGGCCAGTCGCAAGAGCTCTAGGCACCAAACTATGAACAGCTGCATCCGAGCTCTATAAGGTTCTAAACCTAAACCCCCAAGCCCTTGTTCCACTCCTCTTCATCCGGAGGTCTGAACATGTTCAGCATCTGGCCGATGAGGGGCATCACCTCAAGCCGCCACCAAGCTATGCGAAGCAACCGTGAACCCCTCTCTCACTGCAACAAATAACCCTTTAAACGATGCCGAGATCAACCTTGCAACTGCCTGGAATACGTATGTGCATCCACTTGAGCCCCCTGTCAGAATCACCAGCTTGAGTCAGCCACGCTGCTTGTAACTAGAAGAAGCTTCCATGGAAGAGTGTGGAGCAGAGCTCTATGGACCTCCTCTCCCCCCCCCCCCCCGCTATTCTTAGCATGGTAAGAGAGTTGTACACACCACGCTCATCGTTGCTCTTGGTGGATTCGTGAGAGTAGGTTAGTGGCGAGGTAGAGGATGACGAACATCAAAGCTCACTGTTCCATATGGTCATTGCTACGCCGGAAGGACTGGAAGACTCCTGCACTGGTGACCTGTGGATAGGCTACACAGCATTATGCTCTTGTATTCTTCCTGTTCCACAGAGCTACGCTGCATAAGCCGCTGACTCACCTGCATCCCTACACGACGACTGTGACCACTCAAAACCGCAATGCTGGACAAACCGGCACATGTTGTACAGGTGTTTCATATGGTGCGTGTCGTCCATGCTGCGTAAGTCGAAACTGTCCCCTGGCAACTTCTCCACTGGCGCTTCACAGACCAGTTCTTTGATGTTGTCAACGGTGTCTGACTCGTGGACTGTGACGTGTATGACATGAATCTTCGGCAAGGTCCTCATGGTGTACTCTCTGGCTTTGTTGTTGCCGAGGAAGGCATACTCCGATGTTCCCTTCTCGGTCGGAATGCTTGACTCGCAAATGATATTTTCTTCTTACATCCAGAAACTGCAATTCACCCTTTCGCTGCACAGAATCACACGAGGATGCACACTCACTGCAGTCATGTCGTATAAAGTGGTGTGCTGCGTAAGCACCTGATCAGACCTCACCTATATAAGCTGGCTGACGAGACTGTGCTGTCAAGTTGGCACATCTGACTCGGCTTCACAAGCTTACGCTCCAGACACTGCTACTCTCTGCTGCACAAGTGTGGTCTATGGGATGTTCCATTCCTGCTTCCATGCTCTGTAGACACATAATTGCTGCTCTGGTTGTAAAGGTTGAAGAAACAGCAAAGATGCAGCATCGGCATGTACAGCTTGAGATACAGGATCTCTAAGACAGCCACTTGCAGGTGCACAGCCATGCGTCCCTGGATGCATCACCGGGGAAGCTGGCGTCTTTGCTACCGGGAGTCCACACACACACGAACGAACGAACGAACGAACGAACGAACGAACCAATATCCATGAAGCTACGAAACCCTGAACCCGTCTAAGAAACGGCGACTCCGGATGCGGCCGGCAGGCGTTGTCTGCCACCCAAGGTGTGAGCAGAATGCCCCCAATGTAGATCAGCGGCTTGAAAGGAATGGATGCTGTATAGGCTCCTTCGTAGAAGGGTGGGGATCCTAGGGCCACACTCCTGGGAAGGGCTCGGCATTCAATTCAGACGTGTCGGATGCAAGGGGGCTACAGCAATGCAAGGGCACGCTGTGCACACCCAAATAAGACGTTTTTCAGGGTTTAGCTTCGCTTCAGCTCTGGCCCACCCCCAATCGAAATGTCCTTCTACCAAAAGCTAAACAGCGTCCGAAAGCAACGTGTGTTCTGGGAAAGTGTACATGCGGTACACCGCGGGCAGCGGGCAATGATGACGACTCCCTACTCATGTAATCACGACAATCACAAGAGAACCCTGAAAGGTTCTGAAAGGCCCTGATAAATGCCTGAAAAATCCTGCCCGCCTGCCATCACCAAGCCCATTGTGGCCGTCCCAGTCAGGACGGTGGTGTAATAGGCATAGGCGATGAAGGGCACGTTGGCGGTCCAGTAAATCGTGTAGGACTTGGTGTGAGCATTGACGGTCTACAGCCCAAGCTTGTGTGTTCGCGTTGGAATCGTCACGTCTACTTGTAGTGATCTCCCCGAGCTTTAACATTTGAGAACAACTACCTATGATCCTCCAGGTGTGTGTAAGGCATGAACCCTAGACTAGACTCTTTTGTCAAAACGATGCCACGCATTCACAACTGGACATTGCGCCGACACGTTGCACCAGGGGCTAAGAAGCCTGTATGCCAGGCAAGCATCGGCTTGAAATGCTCAGTGCCCTACTTTAAGCCCTCAAAGTTTGAAGTGAACTAATGCTGCCCCTCAACTCCTGAGCCGAAGCCAAGCAGACAGAGCGCAAGTATACTTCGAATCTGAGGCTCAAGGATCAAGGAGATGGGAAACGCCGGGCCCAGGCCCTGCGCAAGGAGCCATCCTGGGGGGCCCACGCAAACTCTCGGCGGCAAGGATGTTGAAGGGCGTTTGGGCGGGGGGGGGGGTTTTGGGGGGGCTTTGAAGAACGTGCTTACCTTCCTTGTACCCCATGCCCAGTTTCCTTGTGGTGTGCTGCAAGACTCCTTTCCGACCTCTGGAAGTGATGGTGTTCGGTGGAAGGCTTACCTTGCTTCGGAAGCCGTGAGTTCAGCCTGGCATGAGGACTTGTCGGTGGCCCAAGAAAGCTTCGTCGCCGTGCTATGACAGCTTGGGAGCCACCCTTCGGATAGGTTATACAGCTTAGGGCTGCGTAGAGTTGCGTCTCCGAGCCTTGGACAACGAATCAAGCCAAGCAGCTCTCTTCGCCGGTCATGTTCCACAGCTTGTCGAAACTGAGGTCCTGGCAGGAGCTTCGAGCCTGCACGCCTCACTCCTGTTGATTCCAGTGCCCAGACTTGACGTCTGGGCTGCTGACTTCGGTTTTGGGATAAGGATGCTTATAGCTGCAGGCAGGTTTGCTGCGAATCTGTAAGGGGTGCGGGCATGGACTCCGGCGTCGCAGCACAGCTCCGGGTGCAGCGCTCCAGGTGCTCTATCATGTGGGGCTTCCGGGTTCTGAGTGTTGAAGCGATGCAAGGCCCAGGGTTCAATTGGGCAGGTTCAGGTGGGTAAAGGGGCCGACGCTCCTCCCGCACGGCTTTGACACGTTTCTCTGCTTCATCAAGCGTCCTTAGGTAGACAAGGGTGTCGTCTCGGTGTATGCCGATTGTGGGAAACTTCTGAGGCGGGTTTCAAAGCATCCGCCTCTGCCTAACTCCGATTCAGGGTCTTAGGGAATCCTTCCCGAACCTGAAGCCCAATGCACTTAAACTCTGTCTTGCTGTGAAACCTTTTTACTTGGCTTCGTACATGCGTTCTGCCATGGAGATTTCATGTGTCAGGCTGGGAACGCGATGTCATGGATATTTCATGCACTTTTGATCCTCATAGAAGAGCTTTTGTGGCGATCCAAACCAGGGGACGTATCGACGCCACAGGATCAAGATCTCGAGCAAAGTGCTGTGTGATTTGGGGTCGTCACTCTTTAACAAGGCAACTCGTGAGTCAGAACGGCGGAGGGGGAAACCTGCAAAGAACGTAAACTTCTGAACTCTGTTGAACTCTATCCAAACCTTGAAGAGGCAGATACTGTGAACCCTGGGCAACTGAGCAGCATCATCTCGGCCGGCTTGGAGCCCCCAAGAGACTCAACCATCTTTGCCAAGTCCTCAACCTGTCGGGGATCGACCACTAAAATGGCGAACGCTGAGACCAGGCTTTCAAGGCTTGGGGGGGGCTCCTTCCCTTCGAGCATGACAGGGTCGTCAGGCTGGGCAGCTTGGCATGCGTGTGTTAGCACTCTCCTCTGCACTCTTTGGCCGTACAGTTGGTTGCTAAGCCAAGACCATCAATCCTGGTCAACCTTCGCTTGTAATCATAGCCGTAGCCTGCAGTAGCGGCTCTACAGAGGTCACACCACACCCTGCCACACTGTGCCACACTCCGCACGCGCGATTAGAGGTTGCACGAGCACCTCTCAGCCAGCTTTTTCCCTGCAAGAGCTCGGTGCTGGGATGGTTTGAAAAAACTGACAGCAGAGACCCTCCGAGATTTCTTAGTGCCACCGGCAGAGCTGCATGGCCTCCTTTTTCAGCTTGGGAAGGTCGGGGGAGTTGTCCTCCTCTGCCTCAATTCAAGACTGCGCCCAGAGCCCTCTGGGTACACACTGGAAAGGCGCTGGAGAGAAGGAGAGGGGGGGATTCCGCACAACGACTGCGAAAGTGAGAGCAGAAGGGCCCGAAGAGAGAAGCCGGCCATTACATCAGAAACCTTATGCACGTCTTCGTGCGATATGGGGTCGTCCACAACTCTTTCGGCTCCATGTGCTTGTTGGCACTGTCATATGTTCCCCTCCTTGCTTAGTTGTTCCCCTACGAGACTTTCCTCTATGGTTCCGAAGGTTTTTCCCGAGCGCCTCCCTTTCTCAAAGAAACACACAACCGACAAGCATCCACGAGCTTTTGTGAAGCCTGATACAGCCGATGAGGGGGGTTCGACTTTAACAGTTCTGCAGTCAAGCAATCTCTTCGCAACCCTCCTTCCACTCGCTGTGCAACTTCTGAGCGCCAAAACCCGGGCATTCAATTTCGACAGGACACCTTCTTCATCTTTGTCCATGCCAGGTTGAATTTGTAGGTTTCGAACTCCAGCTGAGCTGGATCCTTGACTTCCTGAGATCACATGGGTCTACACAGATATTTCCGAGCGCGTGCGGCACGTCCGCCTATACCAGTACAATTCCAGTTCAACTAACCTGTTCAATTGAAGGTTCAGGACATGGGAGTTCAGGAATTCGGCTGGGGTTGAACGAGGCTTTGGGGCTAGTTACTCCCCCCACTTCTGCCAAGCTTCAACGGCCTGGCACAGGGCTCCGCACTCCCTAGATCCCGATGCAGAAATACGTGGGAACCCCTACAAGTAACAGTGGCGGCGAGCAAAGACATCACGAACTGTTTGCAAGTGCTCCGGGGCCAGTGTGAGTGCGATTTACCCTGGAAGCACGAAGCCCGTTGCCAAGGCGCAGCTTGGGAAAGCCAACAAATCCAACCAACATGTCCACTAGCACTTGACTCCATAAACGAGCGCGAAATCACCAAAGTCTCCCTTACCCAAGACCTGTCAGGCCCTAAACCTTAGAACTCCCTAAATCTTGCCTCCCATAGGCCACACCACACACAATGCAGTTTGGGCAGCCGTAGTGTGGAATTTGCAATCCAAGCCCTAGCAGCATGCAGGTCATTCTGTGGAATGCTTCATTAGCCTCGAGCCCCAGACAAGGCCACAGCTAGTATGCCCTCTCCCGCCTCTTCTTGCTGCACTGCCTTCAGCCGTACACCTCAGGTTCAACTTCCGGAACGTCCTAAACCCTGCAGCGATCCTGGGTCAGAATTTCGGCCGATGCTCTCTTGTCCTTAAAGAAACTCAATAGGGGGGGACTGCCAAGAGGGTGACTACCCTCCAAGGTTTAGGAGTTTAGGGAGATGCAATAGGAGTTTAGGGAGTTGCAACAATCCCATCACGGTTTTTGCGCTTTCTTTCAGGATGGCCACAGCTGTGTTGTCTCATCCGGGTTGATTGGTCACGCACGCCTGCTGGATCTTGTCAACCTGCGCAATAATACTACCATTCTTTGATTTTGTTCGAAAGCTGCCCAGGACAGGGACCCCAACAGCCCCCCAATCAAACACCTTGGGCACCTCAACCTTAAACAAGGTCACCCTCCGGTGGGACCCACACATTCGAAAGGTTCTGTTGCCTGCTTCGATGCACTAAAGCTGCCCCTCTCCCCCTCTCCCTGAATTGAATCCAGGGCTCAGCTACCATTCCCCCTGCTTTCGCTTACAGCTGCCCGCAAACGCCACTTGGTTATCCCGCTTGTGGCTTGAAACCTGTCCGCCTGAGATGCCCCAATTCCAAGCCCACCCCCACTTGTCCACCTTGAGCATTCGATGCAGCAAGCTGAAAGCATTCTCTCGCCCAGTTGCTGTACTGCGGCTGCGCAGGCCCCCGTGCCAGGAGCTGCGCGCCTCACCATGAGGCATTGTTATCAAGCTGTCATGTGATGACAGGCTTGCAAAGCCAAAGTATGTCGCAGTCGAATATGCTAAAGTTCACAACTTGCTACTCCTCCTTACCACCGTCTGACAAACAACAGTTGTTCCGAAGAAAACCCAAAGTTTAACAACTTTTGTCAAGGCTCACGATACTCAATCTCCGAAGCTGCCCTATAGCTCGAAAGCCACAAACTACTCGACGTGTGCTAGCAATAAGCCCTCACAACCCTCCACAGCATCCCCCAAAGGCAGGCCCCCAGAAAAAAGCAGCCCCTCGTCCTGAACACCACACGCAAACGCAACAAAACCTTGCATTGGCACGCCCCGCATGCGCTCCGCCTGCAAAGGCCTGGGGCATGGTTGCTTACGCTAGAGAGGTCTCTTTGCTTTGGGGAAGCGGTCCGGCGACGGGAGCTAAGGAACGACTTGGGGTTTGGGCCTTGGGGCGTCGGGCGCGTGAACCATCCGCAAATGTGGGTAATGGGTTTGATTTTGTGGTCCAAACCGGGCCCATTACAATGCCCCAAGCCACAAGTGGGGCAACGGGGGCTCTACAGAAAGCGTTGCGAAACGTTTAGCTTCGGAGGCCATTCGAAGTTGATTATCCCGGGAACACGTACCTCGTACTGAAAAACAGCGCGGAAACCTCCCCTGGACGTGCTCGTGAACCCCCAGGCTACAAAACCCATGCCTACCGCACGCCAGATCATGCTTACTTGGAAGAAAAAATCATACAAAACAAGTCTGGCACTTGGCAGGTCCTGCGTCAGAGCAGTTGCCTCCTATTCTTTTCCGGAATCCTGAGGTGGAATCAGCCTGGGCCCCTGGGTTCCAACAAAATCTGCG